TATATATATAGCTAACAGATATATGATATATAGATATTTAGTTATCTAGGCAGCTGTATTATATAAATCGTCTCTAAGTCCTACGGCACACGGCTCTCTCTTTAGCGTACATAGACAATAGCCACAACTAGTTGTAGATCTCAACAGACTGAGTATTGCGCTAATCCTTAATTCACTCTAAATCTGTATACATATAAATATTGATGTATATTCTATATATAAGCTTTATATTATTCGTACTGTAGGCTCAAGTTCTCAAAAGTTGAGTTTTAGCTTTAGTTTAGTGAAAGATCGTTATAGATAAAACAAAAAAAGAACAGCCCAACGTTTGCAATTAAACCAGTAAGTGCCAATGCCGCACACAAGGGATCTCTCAGAATAACATACACACACACATACATTTCCATGTACATATAGTCAAAAGCAACTAAAACAAAAGAAAACTTACAAATACCATATCATTCCGCTATACATATATATCTGGAATATACATACATACAAGTGTATATATATGTACATATATATTATTTATAAAGACTGCGTCTCGTTTTAAGCTAACGATATACATATCTAGTTGATAAGTCGAAAACTCAGGTTGAGATTGCAACTGAATTATTTGCTGTGAACATATTCAAATATTAAACAAAAACAACAACAAAAAACATTATTTTTTGTTCTTATTATTTGACAACTTCAAGTTCTGTTATATACATATATAGAATCTATAGATAAACAGAGCTTTAACTGTATTAAAATCTGTTGCAGTTATGATTTCTTTTCTTACTTTGTATTGGATATATTCATGTATATTTAACCTATTCACATTCCCATTCTATGGTAGCTGATAAAGAGCCAAATGCAAAGAGCCTAAATCATAAATAAATATATTTATATAGCATATTTGTATATTTATATGCATCCATATGAATTGGCTTTCAATTAGTTGTAATTACTACCTGTACATGCCTATACAAACTAGTTAAAAACTCCCCCTAAGCCTGTATATAATTGTATTCCATAATTCTTGAAGATATGTGTAGATAACTCTATATAAACTATATGTATATAGTATAGATCAATAATTCAAACACACGTGTTGTAATAAACAAGAGGTGAAAAAGAAGAGTATATTATACGTTTTCATACATATGTATATGGTTATAGAGTAGCATAGGTACATATATATTTAGAGAGAGTGGGGATTTCTTATACCTAAAATTCGCAATCTAAACGCGCAGCTTGACAATCGCATTCTGAAGTATTTGGAACTCGGCATTGATGTTGTTCATCAGATTGGAGATTTGATGCTTGGAGTCGAGCACCTCCACGCTCTGTGTGTAGGCATTGTAGCGCACGCCGAAGGGGCGGGGAATGGAGTTGGCAAATTTACTGCAAGTAAATTGAAATTTGAGATCGAAATCGAAGTAACTATCATTAATATGATCCCAACTCACATGGTCTTCTCTTTGGCATTCTCGAAGCTGTCGGCCACATAGTAAAGCGGCTGGAATTGTGTAATGGGATATTTGGTAACGCCCGTCACCTCCGGCTCAAAGTCCTTCAGCTGCGGCTTGTCCGTCAGGCAGTACTCCAGCTCGCCGTAGGACGAGAGCAGACCAGCGCCAAAGGCCTTCAGCTCGCCCTCCTGACGGCACAGGCCGTACTCGACAGTAAACCAGAAGATCTGCATGAATCACAGTTAATTAGAGAGGGAGTGTGAGAAAGAGAAGGGGGAAGGGGGAAGGGGGAAGTAAGCGTGCCAACTTACCGTGGATAGCTTCTCAATGTAGTCATCGGGCGCTCCTAGAGAGGCCAAGCCAATCTCCTGGCAGAACTGCGCAAAGGCTGGATCAGCGAAGAGCGGCACATGGCCCAACAGCTCGTGGCAGACATCCGGCTCGGGTGTGTACATGGGCTTGCTGGGATGCCTAATATACTGGGTGGAGTGGAAGACGCGGAAGGCCAGGCCCGCAAGGAAATCCCGAGAGCTGAGCAAACCAGCCACAGGACGCAGAGTGAAGCCCGTGCAATCTGGCAAAGAGGAATCGTAGTTTAATAAAAGACTACATAAAAGATATACATATAAAGAGAGAGGGAGAGAGAGAGATGAAAATATATATCAATTTGTCCTAAGGGAATATCAAACATCAAGTCTCTTTCTCTTACAGAGATTAGAATCAGAGCAGCTCGATCTATAGCTCATTCATCAGACCTGGAATATATTCAGAGCTCGACTTACCCCTCAAGAAGTTGGACACATCCTCCAGCTGGGGAATGTTATCCTCGCGAAAGCCGCAATTGTCGACGAGCAGGGGAAAGACGTGATTGTATTCGCGGCAGGCGTGCGTCTTGTAGAGCTTGGTCAGATTGCGGAAGATGATGCCCCAGGTCTCGATCTCCTCCTTGGTGTAGTCCACGTGGGGCAGCTGCTCGCCGTGCTTGTAGTTGTAGGCGATGTCCGCAAAGTATTTGCGGCGCTTGCGGTACTCGGGATCTGTGAAGCCGGGATGATCGGCGTCCAGCTCGGCGCCGTAGCTCAGGATCTGATTGGCGAAGCGATCCAGATCGCGTATACGGCGTGGAAACCAAGGCACTGCCGTGGCATTGTCCTTGTAGTCGCGCGAGATGATGTTGAAGTAGCTGCACTGCTCCTTCACATCCTCAATGGCCTTGCCCAGGGCACCGGACTTGCCGTCGCACTCCACAAAGAACTCGTAGCCGGGCACACGGAGCGACGAGCGCGACTCGATGTGCAGCAGGTTGATGTCGTGCTTCTTGAAAATGGCCAGGGTATTGGCCAGGGCGCCGCTGGAAAGGGACGAGTCCTTGGGCGAGAAGAGCAGGCAGGTGTTCTTCGCCTCCCGCATGTCCACGCCCTCCGCTATGTACGCGGAGTCCTCAATGCGCGTTGGCTACAACAGCAACAACAACAACAAAGCGAAGCAGTTAATACGAGCTCTTATCAATTCCTAGACTAATCCATTTGCATAATAGTCTGACTAGGCTATCAGTTAGGCATCAGCAGAAGTGTCCATCAATCAATCAAAACTAATGTTCTATATTATTGCATTCTCTATTCATATATGTATATATTTGTATATGTATACGCGTATGTATATGTTAGATGCGTCTTGGGCATTGCAAACAGATATTAACGTCAGGGAAATTTTATGGCATTGTTTTGTTGCTTTTTATTTTTTTATAATTTTTTTTTTCGCTCGGGTTACAAAGGTTAACATCAAACCATGATCTGGCTTGATGCATATCGAAGGTTTCCATTCTAACCGCAATGCTCGACTGCAGGGCCAAAGCCTTAAACTGGCTTTATATTGAGMACATATATATGCATAGAKATATTCTTTTTATAGCTACATTAAGCTGAGACTTGATTCTTGATGAATATTACAATGTAAGAATCTTGACATCATTTTAGAGATTTGCTTAGACTGAACTCTGAGCGAGAACTTAGGCGCAATTAGGTCTTTAGCCAAGTTTAGCTTCAAGAAACATTAACTGTTCTCTGACATTAATCTATTTAAGCAAAAAAAAATCTAGCAATGGCATACATAGGATATCCTATACAAGTTCTTAAGGAATCTGCTTTCAAAATTTAGTCAAATCATAATTTATTTATATATTCATTCACAGTATTCCAAGTTCGCTTTTTCTGCTATATTATTTCAGTAGCTAATCATCATAAGTTTCTATATATCCCATATAAGCTCGATTAATTCAAATCATGTTGAATTTTAGATTGTGAAATTCACTGTAGAACTTTTGTTGTCCTTTTTCAAACAAAAATGTATTTATACTTGTGCATATATACATATATTCATTAAATACCAATTTGTTTTTCTAATTTTAATATCCCATAGAAACTAGTTCTAAAGTATTCAATATTGTTCTCTCTCAAATATTTATAAATATTCATTAAATTTTGTTCAGAATTTAAATTTCTTTAAAAGCTGGTTTAGAAACTCTTCACATATATTTAAGATTATATAAATATACCTGTACACCTATTAAATTAATCGCATTTAAAAATCTAATAAACCTATATAATTTTCTAATAAACATATATAATTTTAATAATTTAACACTAAGAACTAAAGCCTTTGTCTAAGACAAGAATTTGAACCCAGATTATCAATTCAAAATTATTATATTATTAATAAATA